TAACGCTGACAAGATTTTGTATTTAAATATCTGTCTAATTTATCAGAATTGTTTATGTATTCTTGAACCCAATCCCAAACTTTGCTTTTTTGTTTCCTAGTAAGGATATCTCTTATTGTATCATGATATGAATTAATATCAAAATCATTCTTTGCAAACATTTCTTTTTGAGTTTCATTATCTTCTTGCAACATCTCTTCAAAGACCGATATATTAGTTTTTTTAGTTACTTCTTTTTGTAATTCTTCAATTTTTTTTTTATTGTAATTAACCTTAATAGTTAATACTGAAGATTTTTCTAAGCAAAAAAAACAAATACAGTTTTCATCATTATCAAAAATCTCATCACATTCGTCTTCTATTTTGTATTTCTGATTTTTTGCAGAAAGTTCTTTAGGTGGTAATTCTTCTTTTGATTTTTTTATATTATTAGAATTAGAGTTTCTTTTCTACTTTTTTTTCTTAGTATCTGGCTGTTCTAATTTACGTTTTTGAGGAAGTTTTCTTAATGAATAAAGGTCTATTATAAACTTAAATTGTTCATTGGTGTTGTATACAGGAGGATTAGTTTGTTAACAAGAACACATATTTGTTTGAAAAAAATTATTATTTGAGTACTCTATAAATAAAGAAATAATGTATTACAAATTTGTTATCTTTGAAAAAAACCAATAAAAATAAAACATGAATATCAGATGACTGTTGAGTGAGCGAAGCTCACTGTCAGTAAAGAAACCAATAAAAATAAAACTAAAATATTAGATGACTGTTGGTGAGTGAAGCTCACTGTCAGTAAAGAAACCAATAAAAATAAAACTAAAATATCAGATAACTGTTGGTGAGCGAAGCTCACTGTCAGTAAAGAAACCAATAAAAATAAAACTGAAATATCAGATGACTGTTGAGTGAGCAAAGCTCACTCTTCAACTCTAGGCTTTGCGCCAGAATTCCATGTATAGCGTAGTAAAACACTAATCTAAATTTGGAAGAAGAAAATATCATGTGGTAGAGTTATTGATAGTGTATAGATTATTGATGGTATTAAAAGAACAGAACAAAAATGATGCTTTCTGATAAAGGTGCAGAAACGTGATGAAGAAACAATCAAAGATATCCTAGATAAATATGTTGAAAAAGGATCTATTGTTCATACAGATTGTTGGAAAGGTTATCTAAATATTGATAAACTAGAATTCAAACATAAAACTGTTAACCATTCAGAAAATTTTGTAGATCCCAAAACAGGTACACATACAAATACTATAGAAGGATTGTGAAATAGCATCAAGTTACAGATTGCACCATGAAATCAAAATAAAGACTTAATTGAATTACACTTATTCGAATTTATTTGGCGCAAAGTAAACAAAAACAGATTCTGAGATGCATTTATTAAAACACTACATTCCACAGCATATTACCAATCTGTTGATATCACATTGTACAATTGCATGTATTAGTACATCCTAAACTATGTTCAGCCAATATTTCTTATCATGTATTACTATATTTAGCATATTCAATAGGAATAACTTATCTTTATTGTAATTATTTATATATATAAAATATCTATAAAAGCACTGCTTTCTGACCATCCAAGAAAGTTAATGTCTTCGTACATTTCAATAGTGAATAAACTGAATGCAATATTTAGTATCTTCATATACTATCGATTGATGCCTCTGCCTTAAAATCCCAAATCACTCTGTATATTGTTAAATCTTGTATAGACTTTGTATAGAATCTGTCAAGTTATAGTCATTATACTATAGTTGAACAGCTTCTGTTATCGCTATAGTTAAAGAAAAAACTACAGGTTAATACCAGGGCTTTTTCTAGACTCTTCTGCATGTGTGTATTTGTTTTGTTTACCTCTATTTGTTTGTTGTGCACTTTATCTATTACCAAATTTGTATGCATCTGTATTTGTTTACTTCTGTTTGTCGATCACGTGTAACTATTTGTTATTTTCAAGATCAACGATAATCCCCAAAAATTTTAAAATTTTTCCAATTTTTCTTGTTTTCTGTGAAAGTTGCTATTATCATGCCTTTGGTTTCTTTTAACTCTCCTATATCTATGTGTTTTGTCCTTCTGCTGCTTTTTCCTTATGATGTTTTTGTGTGTTTCTTATGCTGTTTTCTGAGCTATCACCAATTTGTGTTTTTTTAATTTTGTAAAAAAGGATCATAGCTGGGTCCAATAGTTAATATTTAACTATTAGTTATATAATTAAATAGTAGAAAATTTTGTTTAAGAAAATGTACATATGTAATATTTACTTAAATGAAAATTTTGTTATACAAAATATACTGTAATATTTTGCACAAAATATTAAACCAAAAAAAAATTTTATATAAATGTGTATCTCCAAAATAAAAAAATGCCCAGAACTGGATTTAGTACTAAGTAACTCTCTCTTTGAGCTTAACAAAAGTTGTTTTTTAGAACAACTTTTGTTAAGCTCAAAGAGAGGGTTACTTAGTACTAAATCTAGTTCTGGGCATTTTTTTGTCTTATACTTGAAGTTTTTTATTTGTCTCAAAATAATGCGTATTATTATGTAAAAGTACTGTAAAGTTCAATTAAAGTTCTTTTAAATAATTAAATATGAAATTCAATTTACATTATT